GCAGCCTGACAGACAGACTCTGATGTGGAGTGCCACTTGGCCTAAAGAGGTTCGCCAGCTGGCAGAAGACTTCCTGAAGGAGTATGTGCAGATTAACGTTGGTGCTCTTCAGCTCAGTGCCAACCACAACATCCTCCAGATTGTGGATGTTTGCAACGACGGAGAGAAGGAGAACAAGTTAGTATTCACATCATGTGAAACAAAAAGATGGCTTCTAGTGATCATCAAGAGTTAAATTTAATGATTTTCTTTCTTCTTCTGTAGGCTCATCCGTCTGCTAGAAGAAATCATGAGTGAGAAGGAAAACAAGACCATCATCTTTGTCGAGACAAAGAGGCGATGTGATGATCTTACCCGTAGAATGAGGAGGGATGGGTAAGTATTGACATTAGTAGCTGACTGATTTTATGTTACACAGATTGGTCCTGAAACTTAGTATTTCTTCTAGGTGGCCTGCTATGGGAATCCATGGTGATAAAAGCCAACAAGAACGAGACTGGGTTCTTAACGGTAGGTTTTTATTCACGACTAATTTGAAATGTAATCTAATCTCGTGTGTATAATTCTGATTATTGTGTCTGATTTGATTCTCCCTTAGAGTTCAAATTTGGCAAGGCCCCAATTCTGATTGCTACAGATGTTGCATCCAGAGGTTTAGGTCAGTATCCGTCCTGCATACTTTAATTTTACATTATTTAAAAACATCGTGTTTTGCTTTCTTTAACTCTTCTGCTTCTTTCTGAGCATCTCCCCTCACTTGAAGGAGCAGTCTGAGTGGCAGGGCCTTGGCATGACAAGCCCAGGTACCCAGAGGGGGAAGGAGGATTCTTGGAGGTGTCCAGACTGGCGAGGCACGGGTCTCCCAGTCATGCAGAGGTGACCAGGCCCAATCGAAGCATAATGTGCTGGCCTGCCTAAAAACCGGGGGAAGAGTTGAGGACTGGCCAGATTTCTTCCCCCCAAATCTTTGTTCTCAGCCATGGTTTGGACTGCTTCACACACCCAGGCTCTTAACTGTCCCAGCTCAAAGCTCGACGACGCTGTCTCCTATYGTCTTGCATGTAGATTTGGACACAGCATTGCAAGACATTTTAGAAGGTGCTTTTTGTTCAGACTGGTAAAGCATGGGTAATGTTGCAGTTTCCTAAACTTCTGTCTGAAGAGCAGTCTGTGATCCCGATCATACCTTCACCTCTGTTAATGACATGGCTACTGGCGCTTTTGGTGACAGTACAACATGGTAGTTGGACACAGTTGGACAAAATCCAAGCTCACATTCCTCCCTCGCCTGCGTTTCAAAGTCATGTCGAGACCTGCCAACGAGAGACATTATGGTCAAGTGAACGCTGGGTATGGAATAAAAGCTTGCCATGCTGAGAGGGGGTTGCACTGTAGACCTCCTGCAAATGGGTTCTGGTCTACAGGTTCATGGCAAGAGACAGCGAACACCTGTAGGGTCACTTGAAAAAATGTGGGGGGTGTTCTGCAGTGGGAATAGATTAGTGAATACTGACTTCTGGGTAAATAGTTTCCATGTAGTTTAGGTTTTAATGTCTGTTTTTTCAGCCTGAAGCGTTAACCAGCTTTTCCAGCCCACAGTGAGACTAACTTGGCATTTTTTTTGATCTGGTTGTTGTGGTGGCTCTGGTACACAACTGTGTGCTGCCCTCTTTTCTGCCACACTGCAACATCATCTTACAGATGTGGAGGATGTGAAATTTGTCATCAACTTTGACTACCCCAACAACTCTGAGGACTATATCCACCGCATTGGCAGAACGGCTCGTAGCCAAAAGACGGGCACGGCCTACACCTTCTTCACGCCAAACAACATGAGGCAGGCCGGGGACCTGATCTCTGTGCTGCGGGAGGCCAACCAGGCCATCAATCCTAAGCTCATCCAGATGGCAGAGGAGAGAGGAGGTAACCCACTCGTTGCTGTTTTGATTTCTGTCCATGTTGATCTCCATCAATGCGTGGTGGTTGTATATTAAGACTGGGGATTTGTTTACCTTCCAGGTCGTTCCAGAGGCGGCAGAAACGACTACAGAGATGATCGTCGGAGTAGGTACTCCACTGGAAGGCGCGACTACGGCGGCGGTAGGGACAGGGATGGTGGTAGAGGCTTTGAGAATGGACCAAGTAAGGCATTTGGTAGTAACGCACAGAACGGAGGCTATGGAGCCAGTAACGGCACCAGCAATGGCTACTCTGGAGGCACCTTCAATGGTAATGGACAGTCCAACTTCGGTGGCAACCAAACCGGGTCTTTTGGTGGCCAGAACAACTTCCAAACCACACCGTTTGCCCCCAATAATGCTGTCACACAGAATGGTGGGAGCCATCCCCCGTTCTCCTTCCCTCAGGCACAGGCTCCACAGCATCCCCCTCCGATCGCTCCGTACTCCATGGCCTCTCAGTTCTCTCAGTAAATGCACCGTAAACTTGAAAAGTGTAATTTATTGTGTTTTGGTCGTTTAAGTTCTATATTTCATCTACAATTTTGTATTCATAAAACAGGATTATGTCAACTTTTTTTTTTTTTTAAGATCTGCAGTGCAGCTGTAGTGTTGCACCTTTATATTTTTTTTTCTATTTTTCCCCTATTTAATTTGTTACATTCCTTTAGTGATATTTTTTGTATCAGGTAATTTACAAGTGTATTGGTTTTCATGTGTAGCATTGAACATGTTAAGCTCAAAGTGCACTGCATGATCTTTCAAATAAACCCTCAAAAAGGCTGTTTGTGTTGGCACTTTTTTATTTTAAATCTTTTAAAGGGAAGTCATTTTATTTTGTGAAAGTACCTTGACTGTCCAGCAGGTGTCAGACTTTGGTATTTGTTCAGTCATGTMGCTGCAGTCACTGTCCAGGAAAACTTGTTGAGTTTGGTTCTCAGAATGTTAAGATCTTGAGAAACTGAACTTGACTGATGTACATTTACAAAATTGAAACTAATATTAAAACTAAATGGATGAAGGGCTCTAGTCTTAAAGTGTTTTCAGCTAAAAAAAATTGTGGAACAAACCTACATTTGAATTGTGTAAGTGCATCTTAATCTGTGAAGACAGTTTGATGAAAAATTGGCCATAACTCCCCAATTTTTWAAAAAAAATTTCCCCCATGCAGAAAATGTCAGAACATTTCCAGACTTTTCCTAATTTTTCTAAAAGTTTCTAATATGTTTAAACAGGTAATTTTAGCACTGGTTATATAAAGATGGACATAGTTACCATGWTATGTTTTGTCTCATGAATCAAGTTACAGAAAACCACAAACATGTCTTCCAGCAGGCAACAGGAGGAAAAATGTCTTACTTTGTAGGCCCAACAAAAAGTCAGACTGAGGGGGAAAAATYATTCCTGGTAATTGTATATACATAAACTAAACCTGACCTCTTGAACTGTGCTAAACATAATGTCAGTGAGCATGCAGACCATCCTGAGTGTGTTGAAAGTTTAAATTTAAAGCACTGTGCAGCTTTTTCCTCTGGACTTTTACAAAACAAACATGTCTCCTGTGCAGCTTCTTCGTATCATAAATATGTTTAGCGAGTTCACGTTGCCTTTTCTTTTCTGTTGTACTTTAAGCGCAATGTAAATTTTAACTGATATACTCTGTGACATGTCGTGCTGACCTCTTGACCAGGTCACCCTTGTAAAAGAGATCCTGATCTGAATGGGTTTTCTACCTGATTAAATAAAGGTGATTGATTGATTGATTGATTGCCTGCCTTGGAATGCATTTTACGTCCTACGTCACAAAAAGAAAATAGCGTGTCCACTGCTACTTGCTGAGTTGTAAACCTGTTCAAACAACAATAATATTATATATTCATATAGTGTGGACAATGGATTCTTTTTTATGTGACGCACACAAAATGTGCAGTCACATTTTTTGTGTTATTGTTTTATAAGAAGTATTTATTTATTTTCAGTTTTAGTGGCACTTTAATTCAAATGGGGGAAAAAGGAATTCTGGTAAGCGTTTATTATTAATGACTGGTTGATTTGGAGGTGGGTGTAATCGTGGAGTGCGCCATAAGGGGGCAGTGTAGCGAGCAGGCAGTTGTCCGCCAGTTAGAGAGAACCTTGGCAACCCGATGCAGCTTCCACATGTATGAAGCGCCGCCATATTGGATGGGGGTTTGTTCACTCCAGGCAGCACTGGAGCAAGAGATTATACCCTTATTTGGTGCATTAATCTATGAAGTTTTGAAGGCAGATCACATGGGATTGTCTTTTTATAAGTAAGACTGAACAATAGTTTTGATTATTTAACAT